ACGGTTGCGAGCATGTCGTCGGAGCAGATCTCTAACCCCTGCAGTGGGGGGGGTGATCATGCCAGTCAATGACAAATGAGACCGCTGTCTTTGGGGCTGCTGTGGAGACGGGGAACGTCTCCGTCGAAGAGGCATCTGTAACGATTGATCTAACAACGGATACCTCGGCCGACAGGGCCTTTGTGATGCCCGATCTGACCATGAGTGCGTTGATGATAAGGTCGATGATGAGGAAGTAGAGGAAGAAGTAGGGGAAGAGGAAGATAAGAAGATGGTGCAAATGATTGAGGGGATGCTGCAATAGAGGAAGTCGATGGTGGTGGTGGTGCTGATAATAATGGCAGTGATGGCGGTGGTGGTGGTGGGGGAGGTGGTGGTGGCAGCAGTGGCGGCGGAGGAGGTATACCTTCAACAACAGCAGCAACAACAACAGTCGCTGTATTGGTAGGATGCTGGCCTTCATCCCTTACTGCCATTTTGGTAACGTTCACATTGTTTAATGCGACTGGCATGATCTCAGGGCGAGTTGGCGTATCGACATTAGCGTCTGCCATTTCAGCACGGATAACAGGGGAGGGCTGGACGTCTGCGTTTGATTATGTGGAGGGCTGATGCTGGCTGCAGTCAACATTGGTGTCAGGCGATGAGTGGTGGTCTCTTGTGTGCGGTTGGGTGGAGGACCTGCACACAAAATCAGCTTTCAGGAGTGGGTGAGCAATTGCCCAGCGAACCATTCGGCGGAACCAGTTCGACAGTCGTGTGACATGAGTTGGTAGCCGGCGTTGTCGGCCACGCACATATGCAGTCCAACCTCTAGCCAGGACACTGGGAGGATGGCCCTTGACAAGCATACGTCGTGTTAGGGAAGTCATTGCCGCTTTGAAGTCGGTGGTATTGTTACATATATGTTTGAATCTCGTTAGTTGTCCTGTGAGCACACCTGCAGGCTGATGAGCTGGAGCGTGGTAGGAAGCACTGGGATAACGTATGATAGGGAACGTCTAGGTCTCGGCCTTATCAAATATGCCAATGCGAAGTGAGCCATCAGGCCGAACCAGGATTCTTGGCCCAAGGAAAAGACATGACCCATCTTGCTCAGTAGTGTCTTTCCACTCAAGACCATACCGAGCCGGAGACGACGGTCATGTCTTCCGGGATAGAATGTCATCAATGAATCGGTATGTGAATGCATATGCTTGCACAGCACGCAGATCTCGCTGACGAAGATCATCAATGAATTGTGCTTTGTCCCAATAAAGCGTGAGGTTGGCAATTTCTGGTCCAACATTAGTGCCCATAGGGATACCGACCACCTGATGGTGCAGATTGCCATCCCTCGTATAAAGGTAAATATTAGAGACCACGAACCGCAGATGTTGCTCTATTTCTGTGTGTGTGTGTGTGTGTGTGTGTGTGTGTGTGTGTGAGAGAGAGAGAGAGAGAGAGAGAGAGAGAGAGAGAGAGAGAGAGAGAGAG